GTTCTAGTTTGATCTATGTGATTGATGCTTTTTTGTCATATAAAGTATATTTAACCGGCTGTCTTTAGGTTTTATAGTGATTTTCCAATGAAAGAAAAATTCGGAAAACATCGTCTTGGTCTGCGGGGAATAGGAATATTTAGGATATTTATAGACTAAATGATAAATGAATTGATAATGGCAAAAATAATGAGATTCAGCCTTCACTTAGAGTAACATTTGATCACGTAAGTTGCATTATAACAGTGATTAAAAATACTTTTTTTTTTGTGAATTATAATACAGAATGATCCTTAGGGGAGAAAATGTCAGGAAGTCACAAGCAATTAGGAAGTTTTATATAACTTCACCATATGAGTCATTATTACATACTTTGTATTGTCAGGATTGATGTAAAAAGCATTGCAGCTTTAATTAAAAAGAGATGCAAGCAGAATACTGTATGTCTATTGTGCATTATAGACATGGGATTACTGTATATAAAGTGGTTCCCTTTGCTTTTGTTAAGGTATTTAATTCATGTTGCAGGTTTTCAGAGACGTTGCTAGAATGACACTAGGTTGTTGTTGTCATGTCAACCATAGACGTTCAGTAGATTATAACCCAAAGCAACAACAAAATATGAATTCTGAATTGTACAAAGTAAGTAATCCGTTACCATTTTTCCAATAGTAGAAACTACTGTAAGTAAAAAAATTTTGCAATGCAAATGCTTAAAGCTTAGTATCGTATACAGAAAAAAATGCTAATCCACCTACACTCACGGAATTGGTCGTTTCGGCGTAGTCAATTATACATGTTTCATGCTGAATCACTTATTTTCATGAATCACATATGCACATCTGATTAAAACACAATTTAAAAAGGTGCTTTTTTCATGATTCTTTTTGGAGAAATAGATACATCAATTGAATTGAATTGATAAAACTATGTAAGTCAACTGAGAATTGATTTAATTGTGGACAGCTCTAGTTACCATAGATGTCTTTTGAAATGTTTTACGAGAAATACCACTGGTGACTTTGCTATCTTTCCTCGTTGGGTACATTTACATGTTGGCAAATCTCCCACACATTCAGCTCCTGTAAGAGAGAGGTTCTCCTGTGCTAGGCAAGAATGAGGGAGAAAAGAACCACTGTCTGCTAGTCAATTTCATTATCACACTGGTAAAGGCAGCTTCCCACCTACGCTCTGCCTTAGCGATTCAGAAGGGCTAACTGAGGTCGTGGTGACTCATCATTTTTTACAAGTAGCGGGAGAAAGACTTTGCTGCATAGAAAGAGAAGGGCGACATCAAATTCCTCGTGTTTTCCACCAATCTAGCCTGAAATGAGTAGTGTTTCTGTGACGGAGAAATCATTACAGCTCTAACCTGAATCCCGGGTGACATCATGCTCAGTGTTGGTATGAGTTTGTGTTTGCTGTATATTTGTGTTAATTGATTTGATCATCCCACCCACACTGTGATACCTGAAGCTCCCGCCCACACACTCCTCAGGAAACCTTGGCCCCTCACCGTGATTATCCTCCTCTCCATCCTGCTGGAGTTAAAAGTGTTCCAGCAGCGGATTCTCTATACTTCAAATATTCACGGGTTCAGAACTGCTCATTTGTTCCATGTTGATGAATGCTAATGGGAAGTATCTTTATGTAGCTGCGCTACGCATTCATAAATAATAGGTTTCATATCCTCCATCTCATCTCTCTGCTGATGTGTACTGTATGCTCCTCCACTCC